GTTAGAAAAACAACAGTGTAAATATGTAGATAATGACATAGCTTAGTAAGTTTGCATAAGTTACTAGTAAGTTTTTACACTTTGGATTTACCATGTCTTGGARGACCGAGAATCTACACCATTTAATTGCAATGCAGATAAAAAAAGAAATGAGCTTGCTCACACCGTGATACACAATTTCATTGGCACATGACATTGTACACATTATCTGCACACCAACAAATCAACTTTATAAAATGTCGTTCCACTGCAGCCTTTCCTTCAGTAAATGTTGTACCTTGTTCTGACAGACTGTGGAATAGACACTGCCATTGGTCCTAAGCAATGTAATAAAATGATATGTCTCATCCAGTCTCATCGCTCATCGCATGTCATTTTCAAATGTTTTCCAGCATGTTGTAAATGGTGTATACTGTGGTGCAGGTATGGCAGTGACTCAATACTGTAGCAGGAGTGCAACTACYTACWTTCTGAGGGGTATGTGGACCCAATTATGCCCCCCACTCACAAACACCACACTTTGTGCAGATATGCTGTTTGCACTAATGACAATTTTTTTCTAACTTTTGTAAATGCAAAATATCTGTTATATTATATAAATGAATCAACTTGCATATCTCACAATTGAAACATACACACTTGTCCAGAAAAAGTGCTGTAATCACCCTTTATTGAAGTTTCACAAATCCAATAAAGGTTTCACAAATCACACACCAGGTTTWAAATATTCTGCTATTAATGRAGAATAATATAATCTYGGTTTAAAGTGTTGAGMTATTTTAGTTTTTAAACTAYAGAAGATTAAAGATGCTTAATGTAGTTAAAAATTAGGTGGAATAGCCCATTTCCCAAATTGYAGGCTGCACTCGGTTACCAACTTCAGTTTTGACTCTGGTAGCTTGCTTTTAGGTGTTTTGTTAATAAAACATCTAAAGAGTGCAGTGTGGTATTCTTTTTACCTGCTGAGGGGTGTTACAAAACTTTATAGCTGTGCTGCATCATGATCCGTGCTATTTTTAGAACATGCCCTGAGGGCGACTCCCCAGCGTTGGTGAGGCCATTCTATAATATGTTTGTTTTGTGACTGATTGTGATTGTCTACTTCAACAGTGACTTAGGATGTCCATTATTTTTTTTCTTATTTTCTGTTATACTGTAAATATAACACCTGTCACTTTAGCCTAATACCACCTGAATAGTTACAAGCCTCCTGACTATTACTGTCTTTCAACCACTTTGAAAGTCTTTTCTTCTTCCCTACAACACCATTATCTCTCTCCTGCTTATGTTTTCTGTTTTGTGCTCCATAGAGCTTTCTTTTCTGACCCTCCATCTCTCCCTGTTGTCAGTTCCACCATGATTCAAATGAAAAACAAACAAACAAACAAACAAACAAACAAACAAACGTGCCAAGCCTTATCAAAGGGGCGCATGCTCGAGCGCCCTTAGTGTGTGTGGAAGGGAGAGACAGAGGGGAGGTGAAGGTGTGGAGGTGCACATAATCAGTGAATTTCATCCGTTAGTTATCATTTCAGATGCATGCGTGTCATTATCACTGTAGGAGCTAGGCTTATGTTAAATAAGCCTTTCTACATACTTCTCATAAGTTTATGAGGAAAGTTTTACCAAGGTATTTTCTCATTACTTTAATATRTTGACTGTGCAAAGTGAAAAGTGACACAATAAGTGGATGTTCAGACAAGTTCAAGTTGATTCATAAAAGATTATGCAATCATTTATTTACACAAATTGAACAGATCATAAATACACCTGATTGTGGTTTCCTATAACAAGCTTCAAAGTTAAATGCAGTAAAACTCGCGTCCGAATTTTAATTCACATTAAACTCAGATTACTCATAAATAGACAGTAAAACGTCAGTTCTGATAATAACAACCAAACAATTTTAGTGGCACTCTTTAGCTTAGGTTTTGGCAAATAAAGACAAAGAAAATGATGAAAATAAGGTTAGTGTTTCGACTCTTATTTTGTTAAGATGTGTTACAACCGGACCAGCACGTCCTCTCTGCGCTGAGACCTCCACATGACACGTCACCCGGAAAACGACAGCATTTACCTGTTGCTGGCTTCTTTACCACACCCCGGGTAAATACTGTCTCACCTCCGATCAGTCAGGGAACGTTTCGTTCGGCCCGCTCACTGTTCCTCGGCTAAAAGTGTTATTTTTAGGCCACTTTCGTCTGCTTCGATCTTCGCCAGAAAGATTCAAGCTGGAGTATCCGGTTCGGTCTTTCAAAATAAAGTTCTCCCCTCGGGAGTTGAAAAACACTTAGAGACTTGAGTCTCGGTGTGGGACAGGCGGCGGCTTGCCCCTGCCCTGGCCGTAGATCCCCCTAATTGGCTTATGGGCAAGATCTACGGGCCGAGCTGGTTTCTCCGAAGAGAAATCAGCCTTCCTTCCCAGTTTGGCATCCAGGAAGAAATGTTCCGTCTCTCAAAGACGTCCGTGTTAGTAATAGAAGCGGACGAATTTGGTTCCGCCTTCAGGTGTTAAGAATGAGTCAGGGAAAAGAAGAAATGATAAGACTTGCCAGCGGCGCCAGTCCAGGTTGAAATTCTGTGGTTGWCACAACAGAATCTGATAATATTTCTTTTCAACTTTCCTTCTGGTAGACTCTAAGAGAAATCACRGTAAAACATTTATGATGATTAATTAACATTTCTGTTTAA